AAATAAAATAACTGGATATGTGTGCTCAGCCTGGAGCTGTGCGGGCAAGATGGTGCAATAATCAAGACTGCTCTGGGTGGGAGGGTACTTAGAGAAGGTTTGAGGGTGAGGTGGAGGTTGGGGATTGGGCAACATTTTTGACTTACTAATATAACCATCCAGTTATAATTAATTGTAAAAGCCAGAACTTGGATTTAAAACAGAAAAATCGGATTTAAAGCCATCCAGTTATAATTTATAAAGGTCAGACAGAACTCGGATTTAAAGCCTGACAGTTAAAATTTCGTGTGACATCCTCTGACGTGTGTCATCATTCTTTTTCTTTCTTTTTTACCTTTTTTACCTTTTTTAATAATCAAGAAGTGAATAATTTTTCTGTCCCCTTCAATTACACCGTCATCTCTACGTGGCTGATAGAAAAGGAAGGAAAGGGGGAGGAGGTGTTGCGGAAATGGGCTGTTATGTATTCGAAAGTGAGCTGTTCGATTTTTCTTTGTGCGAATTTGCATGCTAACAGCGTCTAGCTAGATGTACTCCGACGAGCCAGAACAATCCAAGAACATTGATTTATTGGAGAATATAGGGCCTACAATAATACTAATTATATAGATGAATAATAAGTAAACGTCCATAATTAATTTGCTGTAGTTGGGTATTGACGCAATTTTCGTAAATGTGGTTGCATTCAACAGTAGATGAAATGATGCACACTCGCCTCTCGTAACCAAAACACCCGCTCCTCCATGCTTCACAAGGAAAACAAAATGATGGATAACTTTGGGAATTAAAACTCACATATGGTCGCTTTTAAGCACAAGGGGGATATCCCGAAAGTTGAGAAAATCGAAGGTAAAGTTTTTACCCCTTTTTCATTTTCTTTAAAAGACAAGGAGAGTTTTCTCTATAACCAGACAGGTTTACACTCCAATGAAACCAGAGAGTTTACAGTATTACTGTAAACCCTCTCTGATGAAACTAAAATTCTCCTATAGGCAGGGCAATGCCCACTTTTGGTGTAGGTCAAGATTTCTGGAACCCCCCGAAATCTGGGTAAGCCCGCTTGTCCTTAAAAGCGACCATATTTATTATCGTTTTGCGTGCGATCACGAGGTCTAATTATTTTCTCAAAGACGTTGGTTATGTAAGTGTGTGTACATGCATACTGTATACATACATGTGCACAGGGTGTGTGTGTGTGTGTGTGTGTGTGTGTGTG